TCCCCAACACTGTTCCCCTCCCCCAATTCCCCAATAAAATCTTAAGAAAAAACATATTCTGAGTATTTATTTTGTGTCAAACTCTCTGAAAAATGCTTTCGATGCATTATTTTCTTTAATCCTGCCAGCAAAACTATAAGCTAATTACTATTGGGATTGTTACTTTACAGACTGAAAGTCACACAATCAGTAAGGGGCAAAATTGGAATTCAACACTATGATTCCTCATTTATTAATGAATAAATATGGTTCCAGGAGCTGTTCTAGATTACTGGTACTCTGCCAGAGCTGACTTGGTCCCATACAGGATGTTTGGCAAAGTCTTGGGACATTTGGGGTTATTTCAACTCGGGGTTTGCTAGTGGCATCTAGTGGATGGAGCCCAGGGATGCTGCTAAATAGCCTACGATGCATAGGACAGCCCCCACAACAAAGAATTATCTGGCCCAAAATGTTAATAGTTGGTTAACAAATCCTACCCATGTTGAAAAGCCCGGTTTAAATGTTTACGGTGTAGCAGGGAAACAATGGCCCTGGGATCAATCATCTTACATTCTTTTAGGCACAGAGAGAAGATAAACTAAATGAATAAACTACATATAATACGACGTGTGACAAGTGCTATGAAGAAAAAAAAAGCAGAGTATGAAAATGTGGAAACTATATGTTGTCTTGGAAAGGGTAGTCAGAAAATACTTTCGTGGAAGTGACACTTATGTAGAATGAAATGAAGCAAAAACACCATGTGGATATATCTAGGGAATAGAAAGTGCAAAGGTCCTGAGGAAAGGGCATGCTTGGCATGTTCTAGGAATAGCAAAGGGGCCAGTGTGTCTACAAAAGGGTGAGCAGTGCAGAGAATGCTAGGAGATGATGGCAAGGAGGCAGGGGGAGGCCAGATCATGTAGGACTTTGTAATGCACGTGAGGACATTGGGTTTTATTCTAAGTATGATGTAAGGCCATTGGGGGATTATGCTGGAAATAACATAATGAGATTTATACTTTAAGAGTAACATTGCAGGTTGCATGGAGAGAATAGGCCATTTGAGAGATTCCTTTTTCCGTTAGTATATCTGGCTAAGAATCCAGACCGTTGTCATGGTAAACAGAAGTAAGAATGCTGAATTAAAAGCAATCTCCTTAAAAACACTGGAAAACTGAAAGATAGCAAGAATTTACCGAGCCAATACACAAAGGAAGACAGGATTTCCAAAAGCAATAAAACTGCTTTTGTTGCCAAACCTGTAGAAATTGAGCATTGTTTCTATGATCTCAGAGGCTGTGGGGGAACAGAGACAAATGACTAGGAGCTTCAAAAGATGGGAGAACTTACTTCCACATATCTTAGACCCCATAAATTTACACCTTCAGTGTTATGGTGAACGAGAAGTAAACCTGGCTCTGCTCCACATTTATCCCTAATGGACAGCACGGAAAATTGCCTTAGAAATGCATATAGACAAAGGGTAAGACACATAGACTTTGCAACCAAAAGCTGGCCCTCATATGTATTAGAAACCCAAATTCACATTACCTAATAGCTCCCCCAAAAAACTTGAGCCATGAAATTAGTTTAAAGTAGATGATAAAAGTGAACTCGCATCTTAAGATGCTTAACCACAGAGCTGGGAGGACTATGGGTGGAGCTGGGCCCCTTGTTAACTCTCTAGTCCTGACTTCCTGTTAAAGTTTGTGGTAACTTCTGGGGGAGGGATGCTAATAAATAGAGACGCCATGTTGGAATCAGGGCATTTTACATGTGGGTGGCCGGTTGGGACACCAGCAGGCAAGTGTGTGTTCACACTCTCCTGGGGTGACCTAATTTCTTTTTTCTTTTCCCAAAGAAACCGTTCTTTTGGTGGATTTTCTGGAGAGTTATTTTTTGGCCAGTCGACATAGACGTTGAATGGTAGTGGCCCAGACACCTGACAGAAGCAAACCCCAAAAATTCTCTTTGGAGAAAGTTACTTACATTTGGGTCTCAAAGAATATCAACTGATCATTTTCTGAGGAAAATGAAGGGCTCACCATAAAGAAATAATGTAACTACCATAGCATACAAATTGAAAGCATTTAAGTGTAACTAGTGTTCTATGATCCATATTTTGTCATGAAGAAGAGAAATTTATTGATTATTTTTAGACAACAATAAGGGAAGTACACATGTAATTTATAGGGCAGTCACTAAAAATAGGGGGAAAAATTGCACACTCACAAACTAGTAGAAAGAAAAAAATGGAAATATAAAAATACTTGATTTAAGAGAAACCATGAAAGGGGAAAGAAATGTAGAATAGCCCATACAAATAAAATAAGACGGTAAGCTGTGAATGCTACTGTATCAGTAATTACATGAATTTTAAATGAACTAAATTATCCAGTTGAAAGGAAAATATTTGCAGGCAGGATTAAAAATTCCAAGTACATGTTCATTAAGGAGACTTCTTTGTTTACCGTGTTCCTTTGTTGCTTTCAGTTTTATATCCCACATATGAATGAAGTCATATGGTTCACGACTTTTTCTGCCTGATTTATTTTGTTTAGCATGATAATCTCAAGATTTAACAGTTTAGTGGTTGCCAGAGGGTAGGGGGGAGGAGGTGGTAGAACAGGCAAAAGAGGGTCAAATATATGGTGATGAAAGAACTGATTCTTGTGAACACACAAGGTGATATATAGATGATGTATTATAGAAATGTACACTTGAAACCTATGTAACTTTATTAACCATTATCACCCCAATAAATGTAATAAAAAAGAGAGGCATCTAAAACATAAATGCTAAAAACAAAAAGATGAAAAAAACATGTAGCAAAGAAATTCCAAAAACCAAAAGCAAAAGAATTAGAGCTATATTATATAAAATATAATAGACTATAAGGTAAAAAGCATCACTTGACTGGTATAGTATCTCTAAATTAAGCTCTATTAGAACAGAGATTTTTTTTTTGTTCCCTGTTTGGTCACTGCACCTAGAACAGTGTCTGGTGCATAGTAAATGTTCAATAAATGGTAAGTAGATGTTAAATAAATGAATGAATGAACTTCATAATGATAAAAGGTGCAATTCACCAGGAAGATATGACAATTTTAAATTTGTATGCACCTAATACAACATCTAACGAATAGGTAAAGGAAAAATTTAACAGACTATAGGGAGAAAAAGATAAATTCACAATTAGAATGAGATATTGTAATATACCTCTGTAGATGACTGATAAAAGGACTAATCAAAAATAGCAGTAAGATATCTTATTCTTTAAGGCAGACTATAAATTGGCAAGGATGTAAACAGGGAGAACAGTTAACATGCTTTTACAAAAGTCCAGTTGAAAGATGGCACTGTCTTGAACTTGGTGGTAAGAGTAGAGATGGTAAGAAATGTTGAAATACTGAATATGTTCTGCAGGTGGAAAAACCAGGATTTGCTTGTGAATTGCATGGATGCCTGAGAGAAATAAAGGAGTTAAGTATAACTTCAGGGGTTTTAACCTGAGCAACCAGGTAAACGGTGTTTCATTTCTTGAAATAAGGTAAATGGGGAATGGGGAGGTTTGTACAAAAAGATGATTGTGACTGTATGTCAACTCTAATTTAATATATATATATATATATATATATATATATATATATAGTCACAGAATATGGAGTACAGCATAGGGAATAGAGTCAATGGAATTGTAACAGCTATATAGATGTCAGAGGGGCAGTAGATTGGGGGAGGAGGGTTACCACTTTGCGAGGGGTAAAATATCTAACTATTACATTATTTTGTACACCTGAAAGTAATAATAAAAAATAAAATAAAAAACACACAAAAAAGATGATTGTGGTAGCAGATCAAAACATCAGTTCTGGGTGTATTAAGATGGAGATGGCTATTCGATGTCCCAAGTGGCATAAAGCAGTTAAGTTAGAAAGAAAACCCTGAACTTCATAGAAGAGGTTGAGAATCAAATGTAAATGTGGGAATCATCAGCATGTAGATGGCACATTAGAAGCCATAAGACTGGATGAGATTATCTGAAGTGAGAAAAGATAAAGAGAGCCAAGGACTCAGTCCTGGCGTACTGCAACATTTAGGGTCTGGGAAGAATGAGGGGCGAGGGCAGCCAATGAGACAGGAAAGAACAGTCACAAAGGTAGGAGGAAACCAGGACAGTGGCATATTCTGGTAGCCAAGTGAAAGAAAAAAATGCTTCAAAATGTTACCAAATATATCAAATGCTGCTCAGAGGTAGAATAAGATGAGAACTGAAAATTGATCATAGGATTAAGCACGATGGAAAGTAATTGGCTGCTCTGACCACTGTGGTTTCAGTGGAATAGCAGGGATAATATCCTGATTGAATCACTCTAGTTTCAAGAGCTAAAGAGAGGAGAACAAGTGGAGATAGTATGTATAGATATTTTTTTTCCAGAGGGAAGCAATGAAGGTTGAGAAGAGGCATGGTAAAGTCAGAATACGTTTCCTGTCTTAAAATGGGAAAGGTAACAGTATATTTGCATGTTAATGAAAATGATGGAATCAAGAGGAAAAATAATTAGGAAAGGAAGGGAGAGGAGGATTACGTGAGGAAATTCCTTGGGTGGGTGAGAGGATGGGGGTCTAACATTTTTGATAGATGCCCGTATAGTTCATGCACACTCACCAGGGGAGTAGGCAGAGTGCATTGGTACAACACAGGGAGGTTAGTCGATTTGGTGGTAAGAACAGTTGGCAGGTCTCTTCTGATCATTTCTATTTTTCTCAGTGAAATGAGAAACTAAGTCACACGTGGCGGGCAGGGAGTACATGGGAAATCTCTATACTTTTGTTCAGTTTTGCTATGCATCCAAAACGGCTCCAAAAAATAAAATGTTTTTAAAAAATGAAACAAGGTCACCAGTTATCTTAGGTTGTTGTCCCTAAAAACACAGTCTTAGGCAACAAGTTTTTCTAGAAGGTTTATTGAGTGCTCTCAGAAGATATAGCAGTAAGGAAATGAAGAAGGCAGGTTAACGTACTAAGAGAAGATGGCATGAACCTCTTGCAACCAAGGTCTCAGCCAATCCTGCTTGAAATTCTGGAGTTGGCCTGTCAGGGTTGTCCCATACTGGGGCAAGGGGACTGGGATTTCATATCCCTGTATCAGCCAGTTTTTAGCCATAGCTCACCCCCTGGAGGGCAACATAGTCTTGGGCAAGCCCACTTCCTGTAGCCAATATTAAACACTGCTGTCTACTTCTTGAACCTGTATGGTGGTCCCTTTCTTTGCTCCTCTTGGCATGCGGAGTCCAACGGGACCAGATGTCCACCACGGCTTAAAGGTCAATGGGGCTCTTACTGTGTACCTTGTTGGAAGTGTATCTTCTGGGAACCAAAGCTTCTAAACCTGTAGAGCCGAAAGTTAAAGGCATCTGGTCAACCAGCCAGGTCATTTCGTGTTTCTCATGAGTTTAGTGTATTCTAAATTCAGCACACTTCCCTTTCCACACAAACAGTATGAGCAGGTGCCTAACTCAAAACTCTGTCCATTGGGTGGAGTTTCCTCATAGCTATCTTGCAAGGTCACCTCTGAGTAGATTTCAGTACAGCAAATGTCCATTTTTAGCTCTATCCACATACTGGTGGTATTCGTTTACTAGGGCTGCCATAACAAACTACCACAGACTGGGTTGCTTAAACCACAGAATTTATTTCCTCACTGTTCTTAAATCTAGAACTCTAATATCAAGGTGTTGGGAGGGTTAACTTCTTCTCAAGCCTCTGTCCTTGGTTTGTGGTGTCTTCTCTCTGTATCTTCACATGATCTGTATGTGTCTATGTCCTAATCTCCTTAGAAGCATACCAGTCATATTGGATTAGGGCCCAACCTAATGATCTCATTATAACTTCATGATCTCTTTCAAGACTGTCTCCAAATACAGTCACATTTGGAGGTACTGGGGCATCAGGGTCCCCCCAAATTCAACATGTTAATTTTGGGGGAACACAATTTAGCCCAGAAAGCTGGGTGACCAGTAAACCAAGCTCATCATTTACCAACTGTGTCAGGCCGTTGTAAAGGAACTCCCATGTGAGTGAATAAAGGAGAGGTACTAGCGCAATAGCAGAGGATGGCACGGGGATCTGGGCGGCCTCCTTGCATAGCTCCCTATTGCACTCTGGGCCTGTCCAGTCCTGCTCTTGAATGCATCACTTCAATTTTCCAATGGATTCCTGCTGGGTCTGCCTGTCCATAGGGATCGGGAGGTCTGACAGGATCCAGCACATAATGGGCAGCTCCTACTTCATGATCACTTGAAATCCTGTGATTAGATATTCTGACTCTACCATCCGGTAGAGTAGCACAGCAGGAGCTGATTTTCACATGGTTTCTAATTCGCTGTTGCAGACGGCATAGCCTTGAGATTGGGATCTGAATGGAGAGCCACAGCATTTACTACACCAGCCAACTCTGAGTTAAAGGATGATGCTCATTGAAGGTCATGGCTGCAACTCTTGCCATGACATTTGAGGGCTTTCAAATCTGCAGTGTGTCCCATTAGAGACCGCTTGCCACTCTAAAATCATCTGACAAATTCGATTGCACCGTCTAATCTGTGATCAGTCTGAATGGGAGCATTTCCTATCCCATTATCATGGCTCCTAATTCTACCTTTCTTACATTGTTCCTCCTGCCTTTTACTCTTATCCTCCCACCTTCTCCCCATGTTTGATTGCGGATCCCTAAAAGGTCAGCATTAACATTCCCTAATGTCTTGCCTAATGCCTCGAGCCCGTCTTCTCTGAACTCTAGTGGCACTTCATCTTATATGTTCCTTGTTTTGCAGTTATTTTTATCTATCCATGACATCTGTTAGACTGTCAGCTCGTAGGTGGAAGGATCTAAGTCTGACAAAGCCAAAGAATTATTCAGCATACACAAACAAGCAACTTACACTCCTCAAAAAGTTCTAAGTACTCAGCAGTGTTTCCAGTCCTCGCCACTGTGAGAGGAAATAATAGAGGGGAGAACAGGGCTGTGAGGAATATGGATGGACCAATACAAATAGTAAGGCTTGAAGCATGGATGGAAAGGAACAAGCTTTGTGAAACAGGCTTCTCCAGGGACCCCTTTCTTTCTTGGTGCAAACTACCCAGCCTAGTTTTTTATCTCCTCTATGAAAGTCCGGGTGCCAGAGCAGAACTTCCCCTCACAGAGGCCATCGGGAACAGATTATTATCAACTGGACTTTGTGGAGCAATAAGCTAAGGTACCGAACAGCGACAGATCCTCCATGTCCTCTGGTAAGCCATCACTAAGCCTCAAAGTCCTGAAGTGTCCATCTGGGCTGAACAGCTCTTCCTGTGACACGTTAGGCATGTTCGAATGCAAAATCAAAGTTAAAATTCCAACACGGCTAATAATCAAAGTGTTGAACTGTGCAGAGCGAGATGAGGGGGAATAGTTCTCTTATCAGGTAAGGACCACAGAAGGGTGGTTCCTTACAGGTTCCAGAACCTGACTGTGCAAACATATTCAAGGAAAAAGGAATAATCAGTGTCAGGGGACAGACACATGCAACTGAACTCATCTTGCTTATACTTCTGTGTCACGTTAGAAATGGGAATTCGAATTGCCTCGTATACTAGCAATATGGAGTCACAGAATAGAATCACAGCGTGTCTAAACTGCAAGTTATTTAACCACTATATTAAATTCTCTAGTTTTACAAAGGAAAAAACAGACAAGGAAAGGGGATGTGATTTGTGCAAGGTTACAGAGCTAGTTGGTAGCAGAACTAGAGACAAAACTCAAAATTTCTGATTCACCAGCCAGTGAAATACAGCTGTAAGTCATTATCAATTCAACACACATTTATGGAGCACCTGATATGGGTCGAACACAATAAGTAACAAGCAGCAAAATGTAACATGAGTGGCTGATTACAGCACACTGACATTGTCATTTTCCTGATGAAGAACCAGCAGTTGACTAGCGTTTCTGGGTAATCCAAGGCCTGCTTGAAATCTTCTCCAACAGGGATAATAACAGCTAAAGCTTCTTATCAACTTATCCGTTAAGTCATTGAAAAACCTCTGTTCTCTATACAAGTGCTGACTAATGGAAATACACTGTAAGATAAATATGTAACTTAGAATTTTCCAATAGGCACAATGAAAATAGAAAAAGAAACCCATGAAATTAATTTTAGTAATATATTTGATTTAACCAAAATATCTAAAGTATTATCACTTCAACATATAATTGGTATAAAAATTTAATGACACATTGCACATTATCTTACTCCACTCCAACTTCAAAATTTATACTTCCAGCAAATCGCCCTTTGAACTGACCACATGTCGATATGCAATAGCCAAATGTGGCTAGCTCTAGCTAGTTACTATTGTGTGGAACATCACAGCTCCATATCACATACTAGAAAAATCAGTCCCTGATCTATATCTGCAAAGCAATTAAAGTGCAACCCTAACATGGTACATTTAGTAAGCTAATAAATTGTAAAAAGTAGAATGCTTTTTTATTATAGATGGAGTCCTATGATCTTCAGTTAAGTGCCCTACTTCCCTTGGTTATTCTATACCATGCCTGAACACACCAGGTCACTGGAAAGGTTAAACGAAAAGAAGCAAAAAGAACATTAAAATCAAATGTTATATTAAACCCAATAGGTTTTTAATGATTTCTGGTCTTCATTTATTCCAAGTCTCTATAATTGGGATTAAACATTATTTTTACAGTGGCAAGTCAGAACAGATAACAACAGGAATAGAACCACTTTCCAGTAAGACATTAGGGACTAAACTGTCCATTTCAAATTAGGTATTATTTTCCCCAACATCACTGTCAAGACTAGGTTTTCATAAAAGGAAGATCACTTTACATGGAAGGAATTGCTGAACAGTCTAGAGGTTGCAAAAACATTACCTAGTTAACAGGTATTCATCGTCCAGTTAACAGATGTTTACCTCTATAACCTTGAAGAAATTCTGCCACAAAATTCAAATGTAACATACAATACATATTTCTGAGCCCAGTGCTGCAAATTATGACTTGGCAATATTAAAGAATCTTTCAAATGACAACTTTCCAGAAAATCCATAATTTATAATCACATTAACTATAAATCAATGAAATGCTATAACAAATTTTAGATCCCAAGAAGACACAGCCTAACATTATAGTAGCATTATAGTAGCCAGGAGAAGGAGCTTCTGCAAAACTATTAAGCACCACCCTTTCAAGGGTACAGTTTTCCTAACTATCACTCTAAAGAATAAATGTTGAGGAAAAAATGAGGTACGAACCTTGGGTGTTTCTTGATATTTTTCAGTAATCTTGCTTCGTGCATTGCCCTTGAAGGAATATCACCGTTCTTGTTCTGAAAAGTTGTAAAACACATTATTTCATTTCCAGATCTCTGAGGGGGAAAAAGTCTTACTTTACGAGTATCCCTAGTTGGCCTATAATTTTAAAATGTGATGTTCTAAGGGTTAGCCAAGTGGCTCAGTTGGTTAAGAGCGCGAACTCTGAGCAACAGGGTCACCGGTTCGATTCCCACATGGGCCAGTGAGCTGCGCCTGAGCTGAGCTGCTGCTGGGCTGCCAACAGGCGGCAGGATAGCTCAGCTGGTGAGAGCACGTGCTCCTAACAACAAGGCTGCTGGTTTGACTCCTGCATGGGATGGTGCACTACGCCCACCTGCAACTAAGATTGAACACAGCACCTTGAGCTGAGCGGTTGCGAGTCGGATGGCAACTGGACTTGGAGCTGAGCTTGCTGCGCCCTCCACAACTAAGAATGAAGAAAAACAACTTGGCTATTCCTCTTCCCCAATTCCCCAACACTGTTCCCCTTCCCCAATTCCCCAATAAAATCTTTTTTTAAAAACTGTGCTATTCTAATTACTGAGATGATAGATCATGAAGTTTACATGCCTTGCATATTAAAATGACAAAAAAAGATTGTATGTTTAAAGGAAATGCCAGAAACTTTATTTTAATATAAGTTGACATACAAATAGGGGTATCTCCATTTTTGCAAACCAAAATGTCTGCAATTTTCGGGCGTAGAAACCTGCCAATAGTTTTGTTGCCCATTGTGTAAATTCTGTAATAGTCAATACATTTATCTGGGAGCATTTGCAAATTGGAGGATACCCTAAAGAATGTGACCACAATGTTATGTGAGAAGAATTAAATAATGTCTTCTGAGGAATGGTTGAGGGCAATGGAGAAAGACTGTGGGACGATGCCAACTTTAACATAAATACTAATAAATCTGAAGGGAGAAATAGACAACACAATAATAGCAGGGGACTTGAATACCCTATGTTCAACAATGGATAGAGCATCCAGACAGAAAATCAACAGGGAAACACTGGACTTGAACTGTACATTAGACCAAATGAAGCTAACAGACATATATATGAAACCTTCCATCAAACAGGAATAGAATATACATTCTTGTCAAGAGCACATGGAACATTCTCCAGGACAGATTCTATGATAGGTCACAAAAGAAGTCCTAGCAAATTTAAGAAGACTGAAATCATGCGAAATCCAGATAAAGACACTGTAAGAAAAGACAGTTACAGGCCTATATCCCTGATGAACATAGATCTGAAAAGTCACAACAAAATACTGGCCAACAGAATTCAACAGCACACAAAAAAGATCATAAACCATGATTAAGTTGGATTTATCCCTGGGATGCAACAATTGCTCAACATACTCAAATCAATAACTGTGATACACCCCATAAGGAGAAAAAAAGAGTAAAAATCATATGATCATCTCAGTAGATACAGAAATTGCATTTGAAAAAATTCAACATTCTTTCATGATAAAAAATATCTCAACCAATTAGCTGCACAGTAGAAGGACTTTACCTCAACATAACAGAGGCCATAGGTGACCAGCCCACAGCTAACATCATACGCAAGAGTGAAAAGCTGAAGGCTTTTCTTCTAAGATGAGGTACAAGAAAATGATGCCCACTCTCACCATTTCAATACAACACAGTTCTGGAAGTCCTAGTCAGAGAAGTTCGGCAAGAAAAGAAAGAAAAAACACCCAGATCGGAAAGGAAGAAGTTCAATTGTCTCTGTTTACCGATGACGTGAACTTACAGAGAGAAAACCCTAAGGACTCACCCAAAAACTGTCAGAACTAATCAGCGAATTCAGTCAAGTTGAAGGGTTCAAAATCAATATACAACAGTCAGTTGCATCTGAATCCACTAACCACAAACTATTAAAAGAGAAATTAAGAAAACAATCTTTATTGACTAGTTTGGGGAGAGAAATGCCTTCTGCCAGCCCTGCTAGGGATTCTGAGACTTTGTCAGACGTTTCCTACGAATGCACCCATTCCGCACTTCTTCTTTCCTCTTGCGGGGGCTGGAGTGGGGGGTTTCTGACATTGCATGCCTTTTTTCATCCTGCAATGCCAGGTCTAGTGCTGCCACCCTCCCGTTTGCGTTCCCTAGGGCGGTGCTGACTGCTCAAGTTTGTGTGCTTTATTTCAAATCCTGCAGTCAGGCCAGCTTTCTGTGCATGCTCACTAGCCATCTACAAAAACTTGCACTCGAGCTCCTAGAGTGCACGCACGGGGAGCCAGCCAGTGTGGAGGTGTGTGTGGGTGAAGTATGCAGAGCATTGAGGGTGCGGGGGGGGGGCTTGTTGGGTGGATTCACAGCTGGGATATCCCCAGGGGCTTGTGAGTAGGCTGTCTGATGAATTCCAGGCACTTAGTAGGACCCACATCCCTTTGATGCTTTCAGAGAGCTCTGGATGCTGTCCTTTGGGACCCTCCCAACCGTCCAGTTATACAGCACATCTATTTATTCTGGATGGCGGGACAAAGAAATGAGCCTCGTTGGCAGTCCCTGCACAGATGGGGAAGCTTGGTGGTCACTCACACACTCTCACTTGGCCCTGTGGCAGAAGCCACAGGCTAAGATCTCCCTTGGCGCTGAGCCGCCTTGGGGTGGGGGCGAGACACAGCTAACTTGGAACTGCTCCTCTTATCTTCTTCAGCGCTTCCAATCTCAGAGATGTATGCCCCAACAGTGTGCTGAAACTTCTGTGTTGGACTCCTCGACTTGCACAAAGGTACTCTCATCCCTGAGTGATTATCAAGATAGGTGTTCTTTGGTGGGAAGATGGTAGAAAATTCCTATTCCGCCATTTTGTTGATGTCACACAGGACTTGGAAATTAAGAGTTAAGTCTTGCTAACGGTGCTTCTTAGGTAGCGAAAATATTGTCTAAGGTTGTATGTGATGCTTTGGGGCAGTGATATGACCCTTCTGGCAGACATCAGAATAAAAGCCTACGAGCTCTTTTGCTCAGGGCTCCATAGATCTAACAGAGTCTTGCATCTGTCATCACCTTGGGCATGTCCTCCTTCAAATGAACTGAAATGATACATTCAGAAGCTGCCCTACTTCATATATAATATCTCCTATGCCTATCTGCCTTCCATTCTTTTTATCTTAAAAAAGCTTATGAGTAGAAACACTAGATGTCCATAAATTTTATTTTCACTCATCCCCAAACCTGCTCTGGTCTTCTTTGACCAAAGCCTTAAGGCATCATTACATAGAAAATGATGAAGCTGTTAAGAATGATGTTGGAGGAATCTTAAACTCTTATAGCAAAATTTTATGACATATTACATCCAAAAAGCAATCACTAAACAGCACCATAGAATGAGATAATATTAAATTATAGCTATGTAATTTAGAAACAATAAGAGAAAAATGTATACCAGCTTGTTCACAGTTCACATTGCCAGAAGTGAAATTATATTTATTTCCCTTCTTTGTAGTCTTATGCATTTGCTACATTCATTAATATGTATTCTTTTGGTAATCAGAAAAAATTATGCTATGTCAAAAATATAACTAAATAATAAATAATGAATGCCATAAACTTTATTTTTTATGATAGTTCTTAATTAGCCCACTTTTTTCAACAATATGCTGGAAAATTCCAACTGGGTTTGATGAGAATGATACAGGCCTGTGGGGGAAGGGACGAATGGTTTCATTTTCTATTTTTAATAATGGTGTCATGGATAATTTCTAGTGCCTGATTAGAAAAATAACGTAAGTTGAATTTATCTAGGAATACAATTCATACATATGAGTTTAAATACATAAAATAAAAACTCTCATTTTAAACACATAAATAATTCAGATTAAAATAATTCAAGACAGTTCATTTAAACCCTTAAGATTAAACCTCTTAATTTAAATACAGACAATATATTGTTTCCATTAAAACTTGTCTTCTTGGAAAATGCAGCATGTTCCTGCAATGGGAAAAATAATAAACCAGTGACCTGGATCTGCAAAATATCTCACTGTGAATTGGACAAGTCAGATTTATCTCTCTATCCTGTATCTGAATATGATCCGAAATTTATAGAGACAATGCATATGTTTCTACAGAGCAGCATTCTAAAATACGTCACCATTTAGAGTTTATTCCTTGAGTAGGATATATTTTCCTCATGTATAAAGTGAAGGAGTTGGGGGGCCAGCCGAGTGGCTCAGCTGGTTAAGAGCGTGAGCTCTGAGCAACAGGGCTGCCGGTTTGATTCCCTCACGGGGCAGTGAGCTGCGCCCGAGCTGAGCTGCTGCTGAGCTGCCAACAGGTGGTGGGATGGCTCAGCTGGTGAGAGCACGTGCTCCTAACAACAAGGTTGCCTGTTCAACTCCCGCACAGGATGGTGGACTATGCTCCCCCGCATCTAAGATTGAACAAGGCACCTTGAGCTGCGTGGCCGTGAGCTGTCAACGGGCGGCCCCATGGTGACTGGACTTGGAGCTGAGCTAGCTGCACCCTCCACAACTAAGATTGAAGGACAACAACTTGGCTGTTTCCCTTCCCCAATTCCCCAATACAATCTTCAAAAATGAATAAAATAAAATGGAGTTGGAATAAATGACCTATGATTACCCTCAAACAGGGCAACTGTCACCCTACATACACACCAGCTCCATAAAGGAACCTGCGTTAATATAAAGTCACCCCCTTTTTATACAGAGTTTCAAAATACTGAAGAACACAGTCATGCCCAGGAAGGAATACCCTTCACTAGTCTGACTCAACGACCACGTTGCATTACAATTCCTTGTTACATCTAAGTGAATACTACCCTCGTTAATCCTATAATTGTGACGCCAATGAAATTGACATGTTTCCATTTAAAACATTCCTCAGAACATGACACCGATGCTTCTGACTATGTTTTATTATTTCAAGAATTAAATTAGAACTTCTAACACTGCATCTCATAGTCACATTATCATTTACTGAATTCATTATAATTAACATCACCACTATGACTATCATGGGAACTAATATATGACT